GTTGGAGGCGGGATTGGAGGCGGCCCGGTTAGAGGTGGCAGCAGGCTTATTGCCGTGATCGCCACCACCAACCTGGCCAACCTTGATACCTCCAGGCAGGTTGGCCATGGGCCCAACCACATCCTCAGCAATCAATGCCTGCAAAAGTGGCTTCTTGATCTTACAAGAGATTTCCTTGTCCTCTTCGACAACGTTGAAGAGGGGGCAATCCTGAATACGGCCGGAGGAGTTGGTGCACTGGTTGATGGCACTTTGGAGAAATTCAGGACGCCAACCCGTCATGAAGTCGCCATGGTAGCCATATCCTAGCCCAGTTAGTATACAAACGTGTGAGCCGTTACTGAAGCAGAGAAGACTTACCAGTAGTGTCGCCATTAGAGACGACAAAGCGGCCGTCACGGCCCTTGAAGGCATACGTGTTCCAAATGGTCTCAAAGAGCAAGCTGGGCGTTCGGACCGAATACCCCTCAGGACAGTTACCCGTCATGACCTGGTCAGGGAAAGCCATGTGGCTCTTGTGGTCCTCGCTGTCAATGGCATTGCCACCCTTCCAGCAAGACGGGAACATGATCTCGAATCGGACACCGTCAGTACAGTTCCGGTCCAACTCGGCCTTTGATGGAAGGTAGTGTCGAAACAACGTCGGTTCGGCGTCCTTAGCGTAGTTGAGACAATTGAAACCAATCGCGCGTTGAGCCAAATCTTCCTGCGTGGTCTGGCCCAGGGCAGCCCATCGTGATCTATCAGGATCTGGGTGCCTTGCGTCTCCCAGCGTATAGGCTCGTCTATTGTTGTCTCCAGAAAGCATTCGGAATCCTGATGGGAAGGCGGTGATGTTATCTCCATAGAGGAGATAGTACCTAACGGGAACAGTCAGGGGCTATTTGCAACTGGCGCATCGTCATGCAGAATGGGACATCACTTACGCAAGCATTCCACCAACTTGGGGAACAATTTCTATTTCACCAGTTTTGGCGTCTTGGAAGTAGATACTGGGAGTCCAGTAGGCGGACTTGTCTTGAGTGACACGGCATGAAGTGCAATCGCCAGCAAGTAGGTCGGCAGTGTCCGCGCTTTCTGAGAAGCCTATCAGTCATGTTAGTTTTCATGTCTCATTCATCACATTGCTCCACAAAGAGCAACTACACCGGCGACGTTTTCTTCAGTCTTGTTTTGTCGTGGAGGTTCCTCTCTAGAACTCCGCAAGCTATCTGCTGACAAGGATTATTCACAGCTGTGGACAGTCCCGTCTGGCGCTGTGAGATCACCCAAGAACCACAACTGAGCAATCTGGTGTAAAGACAAAACCCAAGCTCGGAAATGACGTACCATTGGATCCATGGATGGTGTGTGCGTGAGGAGAGGCTTCGTTCGGGTTGACGATTGGGTCCATTCGAGCAAGAGCAACGCGGCCAGGACATTCCATACGCCAAAAGGCGTTGGCGCCTGCGATGAGGCCTGCAGACAAGGCCACGGATTTGAGCATTGCGGGTACCAGCTCTTGAGGTTGGGGTCAAATTCAGAAAACTGTCAAGGCACTCAGGCGGGAGACGGATGGGTTTTATACTGGCGGAAGAATAGAAGTCGCAACAGAAATGTCTGTCTGTGGAACGAATGTTAGCAGTCTAATGAAACCCGGGTTGACTTGGCGGTTGCTGGCAGACGAGTGATGACAGAAGGAGGATGGCAAGAAAGAAGGACCCGTCAAGGAAGAGAGAGAATCGACGAGAAGCACTTCTAGTGACCAGAAATAGCACCCGAGGCAGGCGCAGGCGACCAGCACTTGCTGAGAAGAGGGCAGATTTGAGGCACGGGGTCTTGATTGAATGGCTGGCGAGGCAGGTGCAACACTTGACGGTTGACACCTTTAACTTCTCGCGTGTGCCGACAGCTGACAGTCGGCTGGTCAGATCCATCCGCTGTCCCCTTCTTGGGTTTGGATGTCGGTTCAAATCTTCACTCCTTGCTCATACCACTTGACGTGTCACGCCTGGACAGGTCCTTTGTTGCAGGGGCCTTGGATTATTCTCGCTGTTGAATATCCTCCGTTCCCAATGCACAAAAGAGAAGCTAATCCAGCATGTTCAACAAAGCATGCAAGTGCAGGTGCTGGCAGACATCTCGAGCATCTTACCAAGAACAGCGTCGGCGTCGGTATTCAGACAAATATGTAACGTCTTCCTGAGACTTCTTGGGACAAGAACTCAAAAAAAAGAAAAAAAAGACTGGCTGCTTGCAACCGGTTCAGTGAAATTGGAAACACTCTTCGACGAGTCGACGGAACGTCTTTATCGGCCTCCAACTTGAAGCCTGCACCTGAAGCCCAACCCCGCTGTCGCGCGCCGAGACTTTGAATTCCAGCGAGAGGCACTACCTCAGGTGGGCTGTACACCATTCTTCGCGCGCCTTGCAACGCGTAAAATGGCTGGTAGTTATGTAGACCTCTGGCCTGGCAATTATGATATTTGGCTCTATAGCTGGTGCCGTTGTATCCGTCTTCTCGTCGAGGTGGTCGTTGACAAAACCTTGGTCAGTTGCCTCACACCACCAGGTACAGCTCCTTGGCAACTATAGCCAGCCGGGAATTCGTGACAGCGTCGTCGAAATCAAGTCTAGATAACACTGTTTTTTGCTTTATCCCAGATGTTTTCTCCAGATATCGATAACTCCGGGGTGTCTCTCTGTTGCAAATGAGGGGTTCTCTTCGGGGGAAGTCGATACGCACACGGCGGTTACTGAGCTAATAATACACGAGAACTCAGTTCTTTCTTACCTAGTGGTTACAGAAGAATAAAGCAAACTTCAAATTGTACAGAGAATTCGAAAGAGAAAATCGAGAGCGGCCAAGAAGTCGATAGTAAGGAGCGCAAATGGTCAGAATGACCTAGAAAGGGAAGGAAGCGAACGTCAAGATCTTGAGTAGTTTCGCATACCAAAAAGAGAAGGCTTGAATACCAAAAGGCAGGGAGGTCCTCTACACTCGGGAGACAAAACGAAAAACCTGGCTCCCGACTGCCACTCTCGGACACAGGAGAGGCCTTGTCCTCGCAGTGCAGCCCTAGCCGGACACCAGACGTTTGTCTGGGGTTACGTGGATGTCCCAGGCAAAATTACAACAGTTCCAAGGGTCAGGCAGCATGTATGTACACACCATGTACATACTGGACAAGCCCCCAAAGCGCATATCCTCCTTGGCGGCGCGGACCAGAATGCTCCTTGTTCCGCCATCAGTAGCCAGTACACCGCCAATGCGAATTGCAGGATTGCGATGGGAAGTACCTAATACACTCCGTGAACCAATAAATCCAGGGAGGAGGTTGGATGGTCACGCAGAGATCGGTACAGGGGTCCCAAGGGGTAGCGGCAACCAACCTTGATTGGTCTGACGCCTTTACATGTTACGTACGGAGTACCTAGTACTTGCATTTTTGCTGTAGGTGTCTCGGAAGGGGCTGGTTTGTTCAGACGGGCTGCATGTTGCGAAGCGCTTGAGCTTGATATTCAATAAAATTCCGCGCTTTGCTTTGGTCCTTCACATTTAGTTGTTGTACATATATATTACGGTTAAAACAATCCTGGGAGCCGAAAATGCTAGGAGTCGTCCAACAAAGAGCGCGTTGTTTGCACGGATGAACATAAGTCAAATCACATTTTCAACATGCAATCGCTCTGCGCTTTTAATTTGCCTCTTCAGCCACTCCCTGCCTCAGGGCTGCGCTTGAAGGATCAGTTAGTGTACCCACTGGTAGAGGCTGACTAGCAGGGGTACCAAGAAGACGCTTGTTCTTCATGACGCAAGTGTGGAGTTCACAGCCCCCGTGACGATGGCACATACCAGAGGGAGGTTATTGTTACCAGCGATTCAAAATAGCACCTGGTCACGCTGGCTGGCCGCCAGCCACTTATTCACGCGCTACGAAGTAATACGGCAAAGCCAAATGGATCAAACATGGCGTTTTGAGGGCAGCCAATTATTCTAGACGCTCAGGGAAGCAAATATTAGGGGCCGTGCGACGATGGACTCCCCCACTCTGGTCTCCGGAACTTGAAACTCGGCTGAGACCGGGGTGAAGGACCTGCTGATGATTGACAAGAGTCCAACCGGACAAACGATCGATCAGATGGATGAGCGGCATCTTCATGACAATCAAGCAGGTCCGCAGTACAACGACGACACTCAGTCACGTACTTACGCCCCAGGTACCTAGTAGGGGACTACCCAAGGTAGTATTGTACTCCTCAAGAAAGTATTGACTGCTTTGTACAATACGATCCTGGACGGATACCTTTACTACTAGCATTCAGGTACGGTGGTTGGCCACAGTCATCGTGGTGAAATGGAAACTCCAATACTTGCAGACATGGCCAATCACACATTTGCGCTATTGATGAAAATGAATGCCCACCACCTAACGAGGAATCCAACGGTTCATAGACCTATCGATCTGCTTCTACTACGCACTACATTACCGACGCAAGAGCACAGGCGGTCTCTCCCTTTGGTTGTGTTAAGGCTCCAGTCGGGTATCTGCAGGGATATATATCCAATAAGATGCTAAATTCAAAGAGGTACATGAAATTAGTAATAAATTAAGTGATAATAAGAGTACCTATAAAATAGTGCTTTACAAGCTACTACATCTAACTCAATGCAGCCCTAACGCGATTAACGGGTCGCCTTACGGTCGCCTGCTATCAGCATGGGGCATTGTGGGGCTCGTGACCTCACTGAGCCTTAACACAATCTTGGCCGTTTGCTCATTGGTGTGTGCGATGCTGGACGTGCTCCGTACATGCCACGCACTCAGCTCCGTGTGCCTCGGACCCGTCTGTTGGTGGCGTTTTAAAGAGAAGTGTTTGTTGTGCCCCGAGATTAGGCTTGCTACTCAAGCCCGTGCGCTTCATGTTTCCAAGTCAGTTGAGCTACTTTTCAGTCATCATATACAGTTCCTTGGTATTTCCTATGTTAACGAACATTGACTGATAAGCAAGAGGGCGGCCTTTGGAAATGAGACGGGATCTCCTGTTGTGAATAACGCACCATTCACCTGTCACCGCTGTCTGCTTCCCTGACAGGGTTGCAAAAAAGACGCAGGCACATGGAGATCAACAAAGAGCTCGGGCTGGCATCCAGTGACCAAATAGAGTGAACTAGCCGTTCATGCACCGAGAAAACCTGGTTTGGCCCATGTCCTGTCACCAAGAGAGGAAATTGCAAACAATAGCTGGTGGAGTCGTTGGTACAAAGTCCCTTCGACGAACAATATCTGAATGTGATGATAGAAACCCGAGAGCCATCATTTGACTCCACTTGCCGGGAAGAATTACGATGCCATTTAACACATAAGATGATGTTACATACGGAGTACCCCGTACTACTTCGTACAGGTTGAACGAGAATCCATCCACGCGAGACTACGGAGTACCTCTTGCAGTGACGGGCAAGGGGGTCTTCCGCCATTGAAGCCGTGATTTCCTAGATAGATGTGCATACCAACACTAAGGGTCTGACTGACTAGCAGGGTTAATTTAAAGAAAATGTGTTGCACACAAATCCACGAAGTACGGTAGTTCACGTAACGTCACAACTTGTGTCTTCTATGTCATAAGTGTTATAAGAGAAACACAACACCAGCTCACTATGATGCCAACGGATTCAATTCCATTAGTTTACATCAACATCTCAACGAAATATATAAAGTACAGATTTGTGAACTCAGTAATTATTCAATCGATACTTCATTGCATGGTATGCTAAATTCAATGGGTCTAGGGTAGGGGATTCACCATGAAGAGAGTGTACATACAGGGCCAGAAATATCAGAAATGCATCAGCCGGGTCATGCTAATCGTGCTACCAACCCTAGCTATTCGTGCTACTACCGCTCGATTTGGCCTAGGGGCCAACTGCCCACACCCCACCATACATTTTCACATACACCCACATGGTCGCGCCCGCTTTTTAAAAATTCAATTGGTATTTAATTTAAATCTATCATTTTTTTAATAACACGAGCTTAGGCGAGTAATAGCAGGGCTTAAATCGCTCAAAAACGCGATTTCCGGTGTTTTTAATGAATGTGTACACATTCATGGGCCGTCAATTATTCCGCTGCCGCCGTGGGCGCTACCCGGGCTCCTAAGGGGTCATCCATCGAAGCTGCGGCT